CTTCCGACTCGTCCCGGTCCATCCCGGCTGGTGGGGTAGGTCAAATGAAATCCGGCCTCCGCCGAGTCTTACTAACCAGCACCGAAAAATCGTCGCGGGTTGCCGAAGGTGTCTACTATATAAAAATTACATATGTTTTTTTTTTTTTTTTTTTAACAGTTTCGTGAATTCTATGAAGTAACCGATAGCCTCCATTCTCTTAAGGTACCTTTATATTTGTTTTTCACATAGACGCTGCGGCCAAAGAGTTGACATGGATGGGGTGGGAAAATTCAGAAAGTAAAAGCTCTTTTATAAAGACTCTAATTTAACTCCTTAAATACCCTTTTTTAACTATAAAAGACTCTAAGTCGCCCGTCTTCACCAGTCGTAAGTCCTCCTTCGTTGTGCGTAAAACCTCATTTTTCACCTAGCTCCATCGTAACCACAAACTTATCTCGTGCCCTCATTGGTCATGTGCGCGTTTGTGTGTGTTGGAGGAGGGGCTCTGTAAGGAAGTGGCAGATTTGTTCCGGTTGTGTATTTTCAAATTCAAGCGCACTCGAGCTGGTTTCTCCAAAATTACCTACCCCACCTTTAAGTAAACTTAGTAACTTAAATACAACACAAAATATGTTCTCTTTTGGCTCTTCAAGGGAAAAATGAGTACCCCTGATTATCTATTTCATATCTATTTCTGACACTTCTGTTTATATATCCTTCCTATTCATTGATGTGTTCCTTCACCCCGCTCCCCTCCATTTAGCTGAATTCCCTCTGCTCTATTTCACTGTGATGATTGACTCCCGAACCCCCTACAGCACTCCTGTTGTTCACATCTGTGGTTTTATCAGAGCTGAAGCAGGCTGGCATGGTCTACTTAAAGTTGGACAGAAAATAAATCTCAATTTTACTCATGGTGCAGGTGTTAATGCTGGGTTAACAGGGTGGTAAAAAGTGTTTTCCAAATGTCTAATGTGTGCTGAAAACAATCCTACCTGATTTGATCACATACGATTAAATCAGTGTGACAAGACTGGGGTTGATATTATCAGAGGAAGTCATGTGACCATGTTACTACCTACAGTGGGTTAAGAAAGAGGTCAAACCTGACGCAGCTGGCGCCCATGTTTCCCTCGTGAGTCACTCTGGGAATAACATTCATTTTTCTCATGGCATCTCTGCACACCTCTCTCATAAAAGTCACATTAACCTGACGTGTCTCTTGTAAAATTAAAGCACCTACACACCTTTAAAACTCTGTAAACCAGGTCATGGACACATTCCCTGTTGGATCCTCTTCACTGAACTACATTTGTGTTGTTTTCCCAGAATGAGTATTTGTAGTGTTTCCTTTTTGGTTGCTTTTCTGTTGCTTCGAAAGATAAAAAAAGTGAAGTTTGCTTCTCAAATGCTATTCTCACATTTGTCTTTGTCGGAGGTGCTTAATCTTCCATTGTTATGTTGGTTTACTCAATGAGTAAGGCAGAGATTAAGATTAAAGGTTCAAAATGTACTCAGTTTATTTGATGGACTATTTTTTATCATGCAAAAATGCCAGCATTGTTCTTTCCTGCGAAAACACAGATACCTTAAATGTCAACGTTTTTTGCAAGAGATGCTTATTGAGCGACCTTTATTGAATGTAATGCAGAACAAAAATTAGTATAACAAGCCAGAAAGTGTTTTCGAAGAGGGTTGAAGGATGGTCGTATGGCTCAAACAAGACTCCTGTCATTTCTCTGGTGTAAGCTGTCCCATAAAGCCTGTTAGAAACTTTGAAAAGTGCTTTATGATCTGACAGCACTTGTTAAAACTCCAAATATCTTAACGGCTAAATGTCTAATAAGTGTTTTTCTGCATTGTCATGGTTTAGTTTTCACCTCAAACATTTCCAAGAAGTCTGCTGTTGCGGTTACGATTAATTTCACCCCAACATTCTTTGGATAATGTTTTTTCCAGATATGTGGGATGAAAATGTTTATTTGATTAAACTCTAATTGTAAGGCTTAGTTGTTTCAGTAAACAGTTTATATGCAGTCTACCATCCATCGTTAAAAGGCATCCAACTGGCATGACAACTTTTATTTTGAAACACAAAGAAACTAACTCTGGCTTCAAGTGCAAGTTCATCTTTTTGTGAGCGCTCTCAAAGTCACTTTGAGGGGTTTAGCTGAGCGAGCGTGACTGATACCAGAGCATTTCTGTTTTGGGAGTTTGTTTGAACGGGCAGAAAGAGTTCGTCTCGATGCCACCGGAGCTCAGCAGAGATGACAAAAGTACACACATCCTTTACTCGAGTAGAAGTACAGATACTCGTGTTTAAAAATACTCTGGTAAAAGTAGAAGTACTGACTAAACTTCTTTACTCAAGTGAAAGTTAAGAGGCTTTGAAATGTACTTCAGTAAAAAGTACCCATAACTAGCAGCTGTTTTAAAGAGTACCTGACCTCCCTTTATATTAATAGAACAATAATGTCATTGTTAGCTAATGAATGTTTCCATGGTGACCAACGGCAACATGACAACGTTTTCATTGGTCCCTCTTCTTTAGAGAAGACCAGGAAATGATGGATACACTGATCGTGTTCAAATCAATAGGCACGCAATGACTCTAAATAATAATGATCACGCCACCAAACACACATTCAGACTAAAGGAACCAGCCTGTTTGGAAAATGTGAGAAGTAGAAAGTACAGGTATTTGTGTTCAACATGTAAGAAGTAGAAAGTACAGGTATTTGTGTTCAACATGTAAGAAGTAGAAAGTACAGGTATTTGTGTTCAACATGTAAGAAGTAGAAAGTACAGGTGTTTGTGTTCAAAATGTAAGAAATAAAAGTAAGACGTTGTCAGAAAAATAACTAGTGGAGTAAAGTACTGATACCAGAAAAATGTAATTAAGTGTAACAAAGTATTTGTACTCCAACACTTCCCACCTCTGGCCGGTGGATAGTCTGAGTTTCTGCTGCTGCCAGAGAGCTCCGTCCTCATTCCTCCCAAACTCCATCCAGATCTCAGACTCCTGCTTCTCATTGCCTGCTTGGGAGGTTTGGC